GACTCCATTGGACTCCATTGGACTCCATTGGACTCCATTGGACTCCAATGGACTCCAGTCTTGTCTGAAGTCCAGCAATCCAAGCTATGATAAAATCTGCTGCTTATTGCCTTCAGCTATCGGAAATAAAAAACAGACTATGCATTAACTGTCGATTAAAAATTTCCTTTTTTTACCATCACAATCTTTTGTAAATGCTTCATAGCGTCTGATAAAGTGTAAAAATATGAAAAAAATATAAATATGAAAACAATTAACGAATGACAAATTTTTAAAAATAATAAGAAAATTGTAAAGTTAAAAAAATCCAGCTTCATAAGAAGACTATACTGTATGATATACTATGAAAGAAGTAAAACGAGAAGTATAAACAGGAAAATGTTCCTAAGGTAAATATTATTGTCTTCTCGTTCTTTTTACAACTTCTTTCGTATTATAAGATGATTCTACTGAATGAAGCTTTCTTTTCGCTCTACTTTTACTTTTTAATAATGGCGAAGGTTGTTCAAGACTTTCATGATCATCGGTTGTTATAGAGGTAGACGTAGAATTAAGTAATATCGCATTTGATGATGATTCGTGATCTGGTGTAGTATCTGATGATGATTCGTGATCTGGTGCAGTATCTGATGATGTAAATGATTGTTGATTATCTGATGATGATTCTTGATCTGGTAAAGTATCTGAACATGTAAAAGATTGTTGATTATCTGCAGTTATTGATGAAATCAGCTTACAATTTTTTATTAATTCTTTCATTTTATCACATGTATTATTATTACGAAAATCTTGTAAATGCCTGTAAAAGTTTGATAGTTGAAATTTGCCACGATTATTTGTTAATGATATCCATTTGTTACAACAACATTTTATATTAGCTTTTAATACACCACTTGCATCATTTAATATGGAAATAGAGTAATGTTGACCTTCAATCAAGGACAAATTTGACAAATTAAGTCTTGATTCATTATTTTTACACCAATTGTTCAATGTATTATTTATATAAGTTTTATGTTCATCGAGTGATAAGTTTAAAGATTTTGATGTGACAATGTTTGATGAATTACTCGATAAAACCGCCATTGTTGATTCTGTGGTAGTTGAGGATGTGTTTATGGTTCTATCTAATGGTGGTGATGATTGATTACGTTTTGAAGATTTTGTTAACTTTGCATCATCAGTACATTTTTGTTTTAATAAATCAATAAGATAGTCCACATTTCCTTTTATACCAGGTTTTATAATGAATATATCATCATCAAGCATAAAACCATGCTTATTTTTAAAACAATCTAAAGCTTTGCTTTTCAAATTCATAATACAATAAACATCAGCTGTCATCAACAAAGATTTAACACAATTGATACTTTGAATTTCAAAAAGATCAACAGCAGCATCACCAGCTTCTTTTCGAACAAAATCAAAAAATTTAACGTCACGTAATGACATGATATCAGATGGCAAAATTGATGTATCAATAAGAGCTTCTGTTTGAAACATATTTAAATATTAACTATATTTGTATAAATAAAATTCTCTCTCTCGAGAGAGAGAGCAAGCGAGAAAGGTTTAATGATTCATGAATATTATGAGCCAATAGCTTCTAAAGTGATGTTCTCTATACAAGCGTAACTAGTACTTTTCAATTTTTTGTAACATTCCATTCTTTCAAATGATGGATGTTTTCTTCAGATTACCGATATGTGACTCATCACAGTTGTTTATCAGCTGGAAGTGTTTGAAAAATATGTCAGATTTTTGTTTCCAAACTTATTATAAACTATTATGTCTGAACACATTTTGGTTTTCTAGATAAAAAATCGATCGTTTTCTTCTTATGGATGATAGATTGCCAGAGAATGTTTTTTCTTTAAAGAACGATGATTTTTATGAATTTATTCAAGTATTAGTTGGACAACAAATGGTGGATATTCTAAAATTCCAATCAATTACATCTACACAATCTCTTATTCGAAACCCGAATATCTTTGAAATATTTAATATGAATTGTTCGGAATCTAGTTTCTTAATGATAAGAGAAAGATCATGTTTTCAACTTGATAATGGAACATTTATTGTGAAGATTGGGTTAATAAATAATTTGAATTGTTTATTAGAATTTTTAAAGCAACAGCAACAAAAACAAATTAAAACAAGTACAGGGGGTAACAAAATTATAGGCCCCCCTTTGTCATTGTTTTTTTTCTATGAAAACGAATAGCTGGATCAAATGTAAACAGTGATTCTGATAGCTCTCGAAGTCCTCTATCGAATGCAGTATATTTGAGACTTTTTAAAGTGATTTCGCTATGTTGTGTTTTTGAAAATACGCAAGACCCCATTTTTGACCTTTCGAAGGACTTGTCAGACAACATTTTCAATGTATCCATCGGATAGAGCTAAAAATTCTGAGTAAAATGAGTGGTCGTACGACTCTGGGTCACTTTCCAATGAAAAGTTATGCCTTTGACAAAAGTCGAAAAAAACTGAAAAATGATCAAAAATTGTGAAAAATGGTCTAAAAAAACGTTTTTTTCGACTTTTGTCAAAGGCATAACTTTTCATTGGAAAGTGACCCAGAGTCGTACGACCACTCATTTTACTCAGAATTTTTAGCTCTATCCGATGGA